AAAAACCGTTAGGGCTTTAGTTTATCATGGGATTCGTCGCGCGGGGTGTCTAAATATTAATTAAAGGAATTGAGTCTTTGTCACAAACTCTGGTTTTACAAACCCTATATATTTGGATTCCAATGTCGTAGATCTTAGATATTTCAAACTATGAATTCTGTTATATCAAATAATATAAGTTTAAAATATCAAAGATTTACGACATTGGGTTCCAAAGATATAGGGATTATATTCAGTGTTTGTGGCAAAGACTCAATTCCTTTATTAAGAGAAAATGAAACATTGATCTCTAAACTGTTGTGGTCATTATAATAATAGAGTTGGATAGGATATCGATACAGGATATATTCTAGGTTTAATAGTTTCATAATTAGTTGTATTCTAGGTAACGCAACCCCTGCATGTATAGTAGAATATATGTATTTAAGGGGAGAGTCAAAAATAAATATCAATTCACAAAGTTAAACATTTCTTTTGCTATTTTTATTTGTCGAAAATGAAATGTTCAATGTTAGTTTTCATTGTATTTATTTTTTATTTTTCTCTCTTTTTAAAATTTTAAATCTATTAATATATAAATATATGTTTTATCTATGTACGTATATATATTTATGGCTTGTAATGTTTTTTTGTTTGTATATAACGTCGTCGTTAGAACGGCTGAACCGATTGGACCCAATTTTTTAAGGAAGATTTTGGAAGGTTGAAAATCAAAATCGAAAAATTGGAAAACATGTCACCTTTTCCTTTTTTTGAAAATCCATTTATTTAAACAGAAAAATTCGACAAAATTTGTTTTTGAATGGCGCTCAGATTGTTAATAGAAGAGGGGTGCCAAGCGCTCTGAAAGCCTTGTGTATTATATTTATCTACTTTTTAGCAAATATTTACATATAATGAGTTCTATAAATATGCCTAGAATATTGTTCACAATACTTAATTATTGCATGTCAGTATTCACCCCTTCTAATATATATTTTACACTTCAAGTATCCTCAAACAAATATTATGTATTTTATTATAAACGACCAGTTTCTAAAGATTCAAATTGCACATTTTTATTCAAAAAATTATGATTGAAAGACATTCCAGAGTGAGAAAAGATACTATCAGTCCTTAAACGAGAGAAAAACTGTACATGCTATTAATTATTATATTAAATTATGTCTATTAAATTGTATGTACGATCATAACTCCTGAACCTTTGGACCGATTTACCTCAAATTTTGATTGGGAAACTTAATATTCTTAGCAAGGTTTTGAGAATATAACCCAAATTGAACCCTTTAGGGGAAAATCATAATTTAAGACCAATCGCGGGTAAACGGCGAGAGTAACTATGAGTTCCCTGGGCAACGCTGGGTTCCTAAGCTAGTTATTCATAAAATTTTAAATTTTTTTTTTTAAATTACACAAATTATCTTTGCTATAGAAATATTGTAGATAAAAGGTTGGTTTGGATATTTTCTTCCTTTTCCCTCTCTTCTTCTTCCTTTTCCCTCTCTTCTTCTTCCTTTTCCCTCTCTTCTTCTTCCTTTTCCCTCTCTTCTTCTTCCCTCTCTTCTTCTTCCTATGCTCTTCCTTTTCCCTCTCTTCTTCTTCCTATGCTCTTCCTTTTCCCTCTCTTCTTCTTCCTATGCTCTTGCTTTCATCCTCCGATAGACTTTCTCTACGAATTTAAAGAAAGATTATAATTCCAAAAAAATGTTTTTTTTCTAAAGATCATAGTTTTTTTCAATAAGATGTAATAAAACTTTAAAAATAAATTTTTACCTTTTAAAGTAATGTACAGTTTAAATTTCCTTTACCAAGTTGATATAAACTGTTGCTTGCTTAATTATAATCTAATAATTATTATGATTAAATGTAGCCAAGTGAAGCAAAATCCGATAATTGCGACAAAATGGAAAATTTATCAAACATGCTTCATGTGCAACAAATGTAGCAACTTTAGGAGTCCGATTTTTCAACAGCTTTTCTCTCTTCAACTTCCAATAAGTGTTACAAGCTGTAGCTGCTATCAGATCATAAATTTCGGATCTCAGCAATAATCATAATTCACATATTCAACCATAGCAACCGTAGAACTGAAGAATATCAAAGGGCGCAGAGATATTGTCTTCGATTTGATTTAATTTAAGCTTGCCAAGAATAGTGCAAAAATTTCGTAAGAAAACGGTTAAACTATTTTAGACCTTAATTTATTTTTCGCTGAGTCAAAATATTGTAGAGCTATGTTTAAGTTATTATCCAAAGAGCTATTTTAAATACTTTTACATCTTTATGAGCAAACATTAGTCTGTGTTAACCCTATCCCTGCTGGTTCTTTAAATATTACATCTTCCTCAGACAATCTTCATTTTTGCGGTGCACTCACCCAAACTAAAAGATTAAGAAAACAAATAAAATATATTCTGATTCACAACAATACCCTTAAAATTGCTTTGTCTGACCAAGTGTTGCATTAAAAATCCATGTTTCCCATTTTGAAACTGAATATTTTTATTTGTGGTTTCTGTACAAAAGTGAGGAATGAAGGTTTCAAGGGTACATCGGACATGCCACTCTATAAATGGAGGGTCACTTGAAATTACGCATGTATTCCATTTAAGTATAATTACATCGTATAGAAAAAAATACTTTAAAATCTCACTTTTGCCAAAATGCTTTACACGAATAAATATTTTGATCTTTAAAGATTTAATATTTTCCCAAACAGTTAAAAAAGAAGGTCAGCTCTAGAAATGAAAGAAACAGAACTACAAAACATATATTACAAAACATATATTACAAATCAGATATTACAAAACAGATATTACAAAACAGATATTACAAAACATATATTACAAAACAGATATTACAAAACAGATATTACAAAACAGATATCACAAAACAGATATCACAAAACAGATATTACAAAACAGATATCACAAAACAGATATTACAAAACAGATATTACAAAACAGATATTACAAAACAGATATTACAAAACAGATATTAAAATAAAGAGATATTATAAAACAGATATTACAAAAAGATATTAAAATAAAGAGATATTACAAAACAGATATTACAAAACAGATATTAAAATAAAGAGATATTACAAAACAGACATTACAAAACAGATATTACAAAACAGATATTACAAAACAGATATTACCTAATCAGCAGACGTGCGGACAAAGTTCTAGAAATTAAGGAAACTAAAAAACATGAACAACAGCAATACTTAATTTAACCCGAACTAACCAAGGATGGACGTAATCAGTTTTTTTCAATTTCAATTTATCTTTCAAATTACCGAGTTGTCTTGTTGTACTTTTTGTTTAAAAAATAAATAAAAAGGGGAAAAACAAAAAATTTCAAGAAAAACTATAGAAATAAATTGTTTTTCAAAATAGCAAATTGAGAAAAAAATTTATTTATTTAATGTAAACTTTGTTATTTAGAAATTATAAAAGATTCCAGGGAAAAGAAACCTTTAACATATATATGTTGTATTGGGTTAATGGTATATAGGCATCATGTCAATTCTAAACACTTCTCTCAATATATACTTCCTATACTAGTAATTGCAGATCACCACTCTCATCAAACTATACAAACACTACACACTCACAAACAAACATATTTTTTAGACAAACTTAATATAATAATTTATTCCATCCTGTTCCTCTTGTTCCTGTAGTTTCTCTTGTTCCTCTTGTTTATCTTGTTCCTCTTGTTCCTCTTGTTACTCTTGTTCCTTTTGTTCCACTTGTTCCTTTCGCTCCTGTTGTTCCTTTCGTAAACTTGTTCCATTCGTTCATTTGTTCCTTTTATTCCTCTTCCGCTTGTTTATCTTGTTCATCTTGTTTTTCTTGTTCATCTTGTTCATCTTGTTCATTTTATTCATCTTGTTCATCTTGTTCATCTTGTTCATCTTGTTCATCTTGTTCATCTTGTTCATCTTGTTCATCTTGTTTATCTTGTTTATCTTGTTTATCTTGTTCATCTTGTTCATCTTGTTCGTCTTGTCCATCTTGTCCATCTTGTCCATCTTGTCCATCTTGTCCACCTTGTCCATCTTGTTCATCTTGTTCATTTTGTTCATCTTCTTATTCATCTTGTTCATCTTGTTCATGTAAAACTCTAGCATCTACGGAGGGTAGATGTATACATGTAATATCTCCATATATCCCCGTCCTCGGGAATTATCCTCTAACCGGGATATGACGCTTGAACCTCGGTTGCCGAGACCAGGCGGGACAAAATCTAGTTTCTCATGGTTCTTGGCGGCAAATATATTAGTTCTTCAGAACAGAAGCTTCTAGAGGGTCAAACCTTGATGTACACAGTTCAAACATATCGTGTTGTTTGACAATTCAACATTTTACATCGAATTTTCTGCTAAATTATTTCATAATTATTAAAATAATTCAGTAAACCCAACGCTAAAAATCTTAATATTGGTTTCTAAATTATTTAAAAATATCTTGTTTAGATTTGATAAGGTTTGATTTTCTTAAATAATGACTATTCTATGGTTATATATATAGAATCTATAGTTTTCTGCTTCTTACGTGAAAACGGTTAAACTGATTGGGACAATATATTTGTTGGTTCTATAGCACGGCCCAAGAATTGTTCAAGACCGGTCGAAATAACAAATCTTTTTGGGAAAATTAAAAAATTATGTAAAAGAAATTCTAATTGTTATTTTTGCAAATGTAATCAAGGGAAAAATTGAATGAGAAAAAGTTACAGAATAAATCTAAACTAATTTCTAAAAAGAGAGGTAGGGTTATCAATAAAAGACAAAAGAATGATGATGAGATCCAATACTGATTTAAATTTAGGTTAAAAACATGGATATCTCATTCGATCAGTCTTGATATAAAAATCTTGTATAGGTAGCCTGGTGTGATTCATGCCACTCTATAAAATAAGGGTTATTTGAAACAACCTCGTGTTATGATTTAAATCTTAGAAATTGAATTAAAATCTGATCAACTTATTTTAGAAAAGAATGCAGTAATCATGAACTTCAGCTGGTTTAGCTTCTCAGTTATTTTTCTCTTGTTAGGTGGTTTTTATATATTTACATGATAAACTTTCATTTCCGGCTCAATTCATTCTTCATGCATTATTTACCCATTATTTACTGATATTGTTAGAACTCCGGAAGTTTCCATTTTGTTTTTATTAGCTTTTAGAAAAATATTAACGGAGAGTTTTTTAATACCTTGAAGGCAAGAAATGGTTCTTTGCCACAAACTCAATTTTATAATCCATATATCTTTGCAACCTGTATTCTCAGATATTTTAAACTTGGATTATTTTATCCAATATAGAATTCAAAGTTCTAAATATCTAAGGTCTACGACATTTGGTTGCAAAGCTATAGGGATTAGAAAATCAGAATTTGTCGCAAAGATTAAGTTCTTTCGAGAACTCATTGCATGAAGCAAATTTGAATTAATAATTTTTTTCTCCTTGTACACGCATATATTTTAAATAATTTGAACAGACAATTGATATTTTAAAAACAAAAAAGTAAACAGTTGGAAAATTATGATTTATTAAAATATCAATCTTGCAAAGTATAATAATAATAATAATAATTAGCAATTTCTAAAGAAATGATTTTTAACATTTTGAAATTAATAATTTTTGATAATCAATTAATCTGTGTTTATAAGACCTAGAATTGAATTGAATCAAAATATTTCATCATCTTTATTTGAAATTGATCTAGCATTGATTTGAGATTATTACAGTTGAATTACCTGGAAGTATTTGCCTACGGATGGTTGACTTCTATGTTCCAGAATTCGCAAACAGAGGAGATAAAATAGTTTTAAAGGTTTCTTATTTTAATTTCTAATAGTTTTAATACAAGTTCATACATCTAAAAGTATAAACCTTTGTATATTTGTTTGTTTTTAATTGGGGAACTCGATCGAACTTAGCTTGGTTTAAAAATTCTTAATCGGTCGACTTTTATAGGGAACGTTTAGTTTCCAAGCGAAATGGTTAGTTTTTATAAAACAGAATTATATTTTTATCCAAATAAATCCATTTAGTTATTCAAAAAGACTCGAAAAGGTGTTTGAAATGGAATTTGAGGGAAATATTGATTGACGAGTTTATCTAGAAATTCTTGTCTCAACCTCAAATTTTCCTATCCCTATATTTTTGCAACCTAAATCTGGAAATTTAAAGTTTTTAATATTAAAAGTCCATTACGTCAGGTAACAAAGAAATAATGATTAGCAAAGTACAAAGAATTTTAGGCGGATGTTTAGTTCCCTTATTAATAATAAAGAATTTGACATGAACCTTGTGTATAATTACAAGTTTTACCTATTATGGGAACGATTTGTATTTATACTCGGGTTTTAAAACTATTTCTTTTAAATATCATCTATATATAAATAAAGTTGTAATCTCTGTTTTTCTGTTCATTTGTTTGTCCGATCATAACTCAGAAACCCTCTGGACCGATTTGTCTCAACTTTTGATTGGGGAACTCGGGAGAGTCAAGTGAATATTCTTAGCTCAGTTTGAGATTCCAAGCTAAGTGGGTGGACTTTTATTTCGAAAATTTAGTTTCCGGTAAAATCGACCAAGTGCGGGTAAACAGCGGGAGTAACAATGAGTAACCTGGGCGACGTTAGGTTTCCAAGCTAGTTTCTAATAAAATACTGCTATTAGTAGTTTATTGAAAAACATTTCTTCTATTTAATCTCTATATTTGTTGACTGACAGTAAGGGTTAAAATCTAAATGCTTCATGAATTCATGGATTCAATGTGGTTCCAGTAAATACAAGACAAAGAGATATATATCAGGGGAGGTCAGAGAGGGAGGGCGAGAGGGGATAAATAGGGAAATATGGAGGGAAGGAAATTAGGTTTTGATAGTAAGGGTAAATGATTAAAGAATAAAAAAAGAAGAGAGAAGGCAGGGGAGGGGGAAGGAAAAAGAGTATTAGATGGTAAAGGAAGATGGTTTAAGGAATATGAGGGATAAGAGAAGGGAAGGATGGAAGGTTAGATAGTAAAGGAAGATGGTTAAAGGACTATCTAGAAGAAGAGAGGGTGGAAGATAAGAAGCTCAGATGGTAAAGAAAGAATGTTAAAGGACTATAAAGGAGAAGAGAGTGGGGAAGATGGGAGGAGCTGACAATTTTTTTTTGTGTATCCATACAGCCTGTAATTCAGCGGCTGAACTCCAGTGGAAAACTTTAATGTCGACAAGATGACGGGCTTGAAGTTTTAAATCGGGAAATTTTTAAGTTTTAAATCCTTGAATTATAGTATTTCACCTCTGAAATACATCAACGTGAAGACTAGGAATCCTGGGCGTACGAGGAGATCCAACACACAAGTTCGAAGGTTCTAGATTGACTATTAGTATAGCTTGACAGATACGCGGTGGAGTGGTTGTGGGGGGGGGCAGAATATTTTTGAAATTGAAAGTTGAAAAATTAAAATCATATTTTTCAGTGTGGATTTGAACTGGAGAACCTAACAGAAGAACTTTACAGTGTTAAATGGTAAATATTTTTTATAGCGTTCATCCTATATTTTTAATCTATATTTTAGGCAGTAAAAAAAATAAAGAAGATTTCAGGGATTTATTTTTGTGGAAACCACAGAGAATTATAAACTTAATTTATAATACTCTGATAAAAATCTTTTAGTCAGTCTTTTAATTCTAATCTTAATTCTGGCATTCTGATTTAGTTTAAGTTTTATTACATTCTAACAAAACTATGATAATATTTCAAAATTATGTTAGACTCCTAACATTCTGTTACAATCTGTTAAAAATTCGAAATTGAAATGGATAGTCTAGGGAACATACTGTATTAATGTACTCTACTGCACATAATTTGTGAACATTTACATGATTTGTACACTTTGAACTCCCTTTCAGGCTGAAAGGGACTGAAAAAATTCATACCGAGAGATTCTCTAAATTCACCTCTAATATATATTCTTTTCTCTTTGGTTTATAATATTTAAGTTTTTTCATTTTGATAAAGAAATGTAATCGAATATTGTTCAATAACAATATTTCCAAAGTAAAGAAAAACAAGAATAATACTGATTTTATCAAATTATGAAATTATTTTCTCCTTAAAGAGATATATCCCAATGTGGAAATCCTTGAGATTTTATCTGTAACAGATCTGACAATAAATATCTTCCTGATGTTAAATTAATTGTAAAAACAGTGTATATTTTCTATCCCATCAAGGTTTGGAAAGCCCGCTGATCGATGGGTTTTTTACTTATTACTTTTTAAAAGTTTTGTGATTCATAAAATGGGAAATGTATGTTTCATTTAAAACTTGATAATTAGAATCCTTGATCTTTTTACAAAACTATAATTTGTGCACTGTATTTTACTAGATGCTATACTTTTAATACCGAATGATTTTCATATTGCTTCTAGGATAGTAACTTAAACTACAGCAAATCAGATGTTAGAAAAGTAATTCCTCACTTAGTTTCGGCTCTTCATCTCTCTAAATCAATTTTTCAAAACAAACGTAATTATTTACAATTTTTAAAATAGTTTATCTAAGTAAGGGGTATATTTTAAATACAGAGGCTTGAACCTACCCCCCCCCCACACATTGGGGTATTTTAGGGGGTCATGGGTGGGTGACTGGTTTTTGTCACAATACTTCTCTTAAAATGCATTTGTCTTGTGTTTCATGCTGAAAAATGGACAAAATTAATATATTCTGATCTTTTCATTTACAAACATTGTCTGAATTGTAGCTAGCACTGCTTTATATGATTTCAATTTATAATTACTTTTCCCGTTCATAAATTTATCCTTTAATGGATCCTGTAAACTCGCAATATATTCAGATGTAGTCTTTTTGGAAAGAAAAGCATATATTTTATAGCAAAAGAACATAAAATCACAGGGGTTTCGGGATAATCTAAATATATAAAAAGATTTAAACAGCCGTATAAAAAACATAGGTCCTTCAGCAGCACCCCAAAACCTTAATGTAGTCAGAGTAGTGTGTTTAAAAATCCTATTTTTAGACTTCTCAAAAAAAAAATTCTGAAGCGGCAAAGCCTTATTTGACATAACAATTTACGAGAAAATAATTTAAATAACATATTGTTTATTCTTATCAATTTACGTTTAACACTTTTTTTATTTATTTTTTTATATTAGTGTGTCATTTTTAAGAACGGGCATGAAAATTGTCACTTTGAAATGTTCTGAATTTTCTAAATTTATTTTTATGATATTACTATTTTTGATTTTGTCTTTTTCTACAATAGAGTAATAAAACAGCATTATTATTTTAAACTTCGGGAGAATCAATCATTTTCTCTTGAAATGTCTCTGAATACTTAATGATTATGAAAATTTTCAGGACATCTGGGATATTATATTTCTATTTCAATTTAACGAAGTTTTGATCATTTTTAAAAAGAGTAATTTTTAATTTATGTTTATAATGTATATATTTATTTAAGATAAAGGAATCCAATGAAAATGTTGTGACTCTAAAACAGCTGAAAATAGATTCAAGTGGAGAATATAAGTGCGAGGTATCACTATCCAATCAATTTATCAGTATTTTTTTTAATTTTTGTGCAAAAAAGATAAAAATTCAAGTATTTTTTTCTTTCAAATGAAAGTTTGTTTGTGTTTGTTCTGTAGCCTTATTCTTAAAGAAACTGAAGGCGTCATTTATAGTGACTCTTCAAGCGAAGATGGCAATGCACAATTCACAGTGGTACCCATGAAACCTTTATTTGATTGATAAAGTGGAAGATATTGTCGCTTTTCTAGGCTTAAAAGTGTTTGATTCTTATGATTCCTATATGCTTATAGAATTGCGAGAGTAACTTTTGTAGAGAAACCACAATTGAAAATATAATAAGTTTTTAAATTATAAACATTGATATCTAAAGCAAAAAGTGTAAAATTGTGAATCGGGCAGTGCCATCCTTATATGGAGGGTCACTTAAATTACAAGTTTACAGTCCAGCAAATTGTTTTAGGTTACGACAAAACGATCCTTCAAAGCGTATCAGTACTATACTAATCAGGTATTCCAATTTAAACCGTATCAGGACTATACTAATCAGGTATTCCAATGTAAACCGTATCAGGACTATAATAATCAGGTATTCCAATTTAAACCGTATCAGAACTGTAATAATCAGGTATTCCAATTTAAACCGTATCAGGACTATACTAATCAGGTATTCCAATTTAAACCGTATCAGGACTATAATAATCAGATATTCCAATTTAAAAGAGCGTTATCTTATAAAAAGGAAAAAAAAATACACTCACCATACTTTAATTTTCTGATCCTGATAATTATGCAACCTCTCGTAGACCATGATATTTAAAATTATAAATTCTTGTAGATCAAATAATCAAATCTTAAGAAAGGTTTACAACGTCAGATTGACATTAAATTGAAATTTGGAAATAATGCTTGGGGATAATTAGTCAATTATTTATTACCTTCAAAAGAAAGAAAAAAAATTTCTAACAGCTAAAAGTTTTTTACCCAACTAACTAAAGTATCCCGATTAGCTGCTAACCGTATAACTCGATCGTATTTTATAAAGTGAATGATTTTATATCCCTAGAGAGCACTTTATTTACTTCCTCTTTCTCAGGGGCAAATACAGGATTTTACTGGGGGTGAACTAAATCAGAATTTTATCTCCGTTTTCTATTGCTTCCTCCAATACTTTAGTGGGGAGCAATTTTCCAGAGATGGAATTTAAAGAATTTGAACCGCGGTTTAAATCTGCCAAAACCCGGTTTAAATTAAGCGCCGGCTTAAATCTTGAAACATTTGATACAATTTTAAGTGGAACCAACCATATTTACGCCGCGACTTAAATATAAACCGCCGCTCAAACTTTTTAAATTCGGCCACAGGGGTGAGCCATTGATTCAAAGCTTTGTCCCTGCTCTTTTCTGGGTCGTTATTTTGAAATTATTTCGAACCACACTTTCTTAACACTTTACTTGAACTACAGGCGATAAAAGAGTGCAAATTCAAACTGTATCTTAAAAATTAAATGTTTAAGAAAAAAAACGCTTAACATTTAATATCCTCGAAATCCTGGCGATAATTAAAATCTAAATAATTAATCTTGATCTTTTATATAATCCCACGAACAACCTTTATAAACTATCTGATATGTAACGTATTACGTATAAACTATTTGATATGTAACGTATCACGTGTAAAATATCTGAAATATAACGTATCAGGTATAAACTATCTGATATGTAACGTATTACGTATAAACTATCTGATAAGTAACGTATCACGTATAAACTATTTGATATGTAACGTATCACGTGTGAAATATCTGAAATATAACGTATCAGGTATAAACTATCTGATATGTAACGTATTACGTATAAACTATCTGATATGTAACGTATTACGTATAAACTATCTGATATGTAACGTATCACGTATAAACTATCTGATAAGTAACGTATCACGTATAAACTATTTGATATGTTACGTTAACGTATCACGTCTGAAAATATAGTTTATCAAAAGAAAAGTTATTTTGTTTTCGGTTGAAACATAAAACGGATGAGAAACTCTAATTTTCGAATTTTATACCTCGGAATCTGATGTTTTAAACTGACTGTTTCCTTTACTATTAGTATTTATATATACCAATAAGCACCCCAATCCTCCCAAAAATTATGAAAATTTGTAATCTGTTTTGCATTTACATTCTTTTTGTAAAAAATTTGACAAAACTATTGAAAATTAATCATTTGCACAAACAAGAATACATCAATTCACATGAAGAAATCTAAACCGTGAAATTTGTAAATATCAAGCAAAAGGTGTGCATAGTTAAATTTTTCAATTTATTTAGATATGTAGTATAATGGTATAAGCCATTTTTTCTTTTGATCTCATATTATTGAGAAATGGGTACAACATTGCGACCTAACAAATTTCTGGAAAGTTTGAGAAAGACAAAGGAATTGAGTCTTTGCCACAAACTCGGATTTTTAAATCCCAATTTCTTTAAAACCAAATGTCGTAGATGCTAGATATTTCAAACTATGAATTCTGGTGGATCAAACAATGTAAGTTTGAAATATGAAAGGTATGCATCATCTGGTTGTTGAAATTTAGGTATTACAAAATTGGAATTTGTGACAGAAACTCAATTCCTTTGCGTTAATTCCTAATTATTTCGTGGAAAAGTACAACTTCCCGTGACTTATCCGGATTATCAGATATATTTGTATTCGTATTAAAATATCGTATCATAAAATAAAATTCTATTCATAATAAATTTAGGGTAACCCGCCCCGGTTCAATGTTATCGAAGAGCAAGCACGGATGCAGGTAGTTGGTAAGTAGATTCACACTTTTATGGAGATTTTTCATTCCTTGCCGTTGATACATAGAATTCACCAAATATTTCATTTTTTTATATCATGTCGTAGCTAGCCATGGCTTCTTTTTATTTCAGTAGGTTTGAAATATTCTTTCTAGGACCTTGTTAGTTTGGTTTGTTTGTCCTGCAGCAGGTTCTTTGTCCTGTCCTACAAGAGATTTTTTGTCCTGTTCTACTGCAAGGTGCTTTCCTGTCCTACTGCAGGGTGTTTGTCTTGTCCTACTGCAGGATGTTTGTCCTGTCCTACTGCAGGGTGTTTGTCTTGTCCTACTGCAGGATGTTTGTCAAGTCCTACTGCAGGATGTTTGTCCTGTCCTACTGCAGGGTGTTTGTCTGCAGGGTGTTTGTCCTGTCCTACTGCAGGGTAATTGTCCGGTCCCACTGCAGGGTGTTTGTCCTGTTCTACTGTAGGATGTTTGTCTTGTTCTGCTACAGGGTGATTGTCCTGTTCTACTGCAGGGTATTTGTCCTGTTCTACTGCAGGGTGATTGTCCTGTCCTACTGCATGGTGTTTGTCCTGTCCTACTGCAGGGTGTTTGTCCTGTCCTAATGCGGGGTGATTGTCCTGTTCTACTGCAGGGTGTTTGTCCTGTTCTACTGCAGGGTGTTTGTCCTGTCCTGCTGCAGGGTGTTTGTCCTGTCCTACTGCAGGGTGTTTGTCCTGTCCTACTGCAGGGTGTTTGTCCTGTCCTACTGCAGGGTGTTTGTCCTGTCCTACTGCAGGGTGTTTGTCTTGTCCTACTGCAGGGTGTTTGTTTGTAAAATATTCAGTATACCAGGGCTTATTCAGTCCCAAGGGAATAAATATCCGTGAGTTTAACCCTTGTTTCTAATTCCCCTGGACCTGGCTGAATGGGAATTGACTAGTTTCCCACAAATATTGCAATAAAGTTCCATCAGATCACCTTTACCTTCATCCCACAGGGACTAGGATAAACCGATACAAAATACTAAATAGTTTAAACTTCAAATATTATAAATTACAGCCTTTAGCTTTTAGCCAAGTAGTAATCTTAATCAACTATAACCTACAGGCTACAGAGGGAGGGAGGGGGGGGGAGGGNTGTAATACTGTTCTCTATGTTTAGAGATACCAAAGGAGCCCCATGTAATACTGTTCTCTATGTTTAGAGATACCCAAGGAGCCCCCTGTAATAGGGGGTGGAGCAGCGTACTATGCTAATGGAGATGAACTAAACCTTACATGTACTTCCAACCCAAGCTATCCTCCAACCACTCTCACATGGTAAAGTTTGTCATATTTATTTGTGTTTGTCTTTTTTGTTTTTGGGACATGATTCCTAAAAGCACTTTTTTATATGTGACATAATTCAAGTTCTTAGAGGCACTTTGCATAGATATGGCATAATGCAAGTTCTTAGAGGCACTTTGTATATGTGTGACATCACGCAAGTTTCTAGTGGCACTTTGTATAAGTGTGACATAATGCAAGTTCCTAAAGGAACTTTGTAAATGTGTGACATGATGCAAGTTCCTAGAGGCACTTAGTATATGTGTGACATTATGCAATTTTCTAGAGGCACTTTGCATATGTGTGACATATTTGTATTATTCATAAAAAAAATTAGTAAATGTATTGTATTGATATGAGCTGCGATGATTTTATGTTAGTCTCACTTTTGTGCGTCAACTGACTCAGTTCAGTGACTTCACAACAGTAATTCATACTTTGTGCGTCCATTATACTAGATAAATTAGGAATATAATAGATTTAATATTGTCCTGTTTTCAGGTATTTGAATGGAAATAAAGTCGGAAGCTCAAAGGTAAGATATTCTATTATTGAAGGGTCTGTTGATACAATTCCAAGTAACCCTCCCTGTAAAGAATTACATGCCCTTAGGAAAGATTAATTCTGTAAATTTTCTTCCCTTCCCTGCTGCTAAACTCCGCAAGTAACTTTTAAAGAAAAATACAAAAATATCCATTTTTAGATACAGAGCGTCCTATATCATATTAGATTATCTCCAATGTTTAACACTAAAATACGCTCATATAATACTGAAAAATCTAGCATTTTCTGCAAAAAAATATTCTATTAGCATTATCAAATTTTTCAAAATTATTCATTCTTCTTAAATTTTCTGATTTGTCTCCCAAATCGTAATTTAGACCCATTGACGCGGTATAATTTGATGTGGGACACCCTGTAGAAAGTCTTTAAAAGAGCCGCATCAAATGAGGTGTCCTTTCAAGTAATCTAATGGAAAAATGGCATTTAATGAAACAATTTGACACTAGTCCCATTATTTACTTATTAATGTAAATTATGGCGCGATAAATCTATGTTTTGTCTTACAGTTATGCTTCAGGATGATGAGGCATTGTTAAAGAGAGAAGACGATCTTTACATTACAACTTCATTTCTTAGAACAAAAGTACAGAACAGTTTGTTCAGGTAGAAATGGTTTTGACATGTCTAAACTTTCAAACAAATAATCTTAATTTAACATCAACAATCAACATATACCTCATTTCCAATTTTAAAACGGAACATTTTTACATCTTAAGGGTTTTCATTGTTTTAAATACAATTTTAAGAATTTGATCTTTTTTACGATACTTTTATATCTTTTCCTATTTGTATATAATGAAAACGTAAAAAGAGACATATATTTTTTTAAATATTCTATAAATTTGAATAATTGATTGCTTCCATTTTGTTAATTTCCCTTGGTTATACACTAATAGCAGATATTGCAAGATTTTTCAAAAAACTGTTTTTAAATACATTTTGCTTTTTTATCCGGGTTTTTGTTTGTTTCTATCCAATAAACATCAAGATGTGGGTTCACTGCCTTTCATGATCCAATCAAAGGTTTGGTCGTTTAGATTTAAATGGGTTTTCTTTGAAAAAGTTAATATTTTCTTGGAAAACTTTAAAAAAAAAGGTTTGTTTGTCCCCAGGACATGATCGGGAATTTTTCTATTGCTAAAGTTTGGTGTTGTCTGGGTTTATATTGATCTACCAGGGGTTATAATCTGGCAGCACATTCATCCATCCACGCTTTATTCATACTGAGAAGAGGGTTGAAAAAATTCCAGCTGAAGGCTTCTTAGGCCTGAGAAGAATAGAGTGCAGGAATTTTTCTGATATACTGGAATGAGGCCCGGGTGCCATACTGATAGGAAACATCACACTCATTGCTCCCTAACATCTGTAAGTCCGGATTGGATACCTCCAAGTACCCATAGGTGGCAACCATAGACTCTCCCTGCTTGTCCACCATTCCTCTCTTCATCATCATTCACTTGAATCAATCCACTTAAAGCTTCTTTCTTGTTGAGTATAGAAAGCACGCACCCTTTCGCTGCGAGAGTTGTTGACATTGACAGCCGCCCCTCTGTCCTCCTACATCCGTCAGGTGGTCATAACTGCTTAACCAGATGTCAGCTTCAGATGTTTTTGAAACTCGTGAACACCAGTCTGGACACCAATCCAGTAACTTGCAGTGGACGAGTGTGCTTAACTTCAGTGATCTAACGAGAACTGGTGTCACACACTGTCCACCCCACCCCACAAACAAACTGAAAGATCAAAAAACATACTTAGAAAAAAGAAAGGTATAGAAAGTCAAGAAAAATATAATTACATAGAAGAAAAGAAACTGAGTTTTGACCACAAATTCAAATTTGCTAAACCTTTATTTTGCAACCTAATGGTGTAAACCTTGATATTTCAAACTTTAAATATTTGATCTAACAGAATTTATAGTTTAAAATATAAGGTCTTCGATATCGGGTTGCAACGATATTACAAAATCATAGATTGTTGCAAAAACGTAGTTATTTTTTGTCCTGAAAACCTAGTTTGAATAATTATTCTAAAAATATGAAGGTATGGAGAAATTAGAGTTAAATGTGTTGCTGAGCTCACAGAGGAACCCATCAAGGTAAAAACATTGTATTTTAGATAAAAATAAATTTTTAACTTCTGCTAATTTATTTTAATGCTTTCATTGAAAAAATTTAAGTTTTCTTTAAGCTTGACTTGATTCAGTATTCTGTTACTTGATTCAGTATTCAATCACTGTAATTTTAAATTTCAATCACTCTGATTTTTTATTTAAATATTTCTCTTTTCCCTGTAATAAGCAAAACCTCTGTTCTTTTTCTTTCTTCTGAAACCTTTTGAAAAATACATTTTAAACCTCTTATTTTGATGCTTCCATGGAAAAGCTTCAAGTTTTTTTGCTTATTTTTTTTTTAAATTCTTTATGAACACAAAGTCTCAAGTTTTATTAATTTTCATTTTAATGACATTTTTGATATTTCCGAAATATGTTCAGCTGGGAAATTATGATTTAATTATGTGTTCCAGTGTCAACGACGTTTTCAGGGGGGGGATTTCTTCGTGCCCAGCCCCCCAATAAATTCAATCTTCACTCTGATCAGACATGCATATGTTAAATTGATTAAAATTGTATGTTTAGGCTCGAATACAAGCTCCTGGAGATGGGTTTCATCTTAATATCCTAAAACTTCCAGAGGCAATGAAACTATCTACAGAAACCATTTTTGACGGTAAATATCTTATCAAATCATTTTCAAATTTACAAGATTAAATCACTCTCAAATTAAACACCTTTTCTTTTTATTTTATATAAGGATAAGGATAAGGATAAGGATAAGGATAAGGATAAGGACAAGGATAAAGATGATGATTAGGATAAGGATAAGGATAACGATAACGATAAGGATAAGGATAAGGATAAGGATAAGGATAAAGATGATGATTAGGATAAGGATAAGGATAAGGATAAGGATAAAGATAAGGAGAAGGAGAAGGATAAGGATAAGGACAAGGATAAAGATGATGATTAGGATAAGGATAAGGATAAGGATAAGAATAAGGATAAGGATAAGGATAAGGATAAGAATAAGGATAAGGATAAGGATAAGGATAAGAATAAGGATGAAGATTAGGATAAGAATAAGGATGATGATTAGGATAAGGACGATGATTAGGATAAGGATGATGATTAGTATAAGGATAAGGATAACGATAAGGATAAGGATAAGGATAAGAATAAGTATAAAGATAGGGATAAGGATAAGGATAAAGATAAAGATAAGGATAAGGATAAGGATAAGGATAAGGATAAAGATAAAGGTAAGAATAGCTAGGGATAAGGCAACGGTTAAGGAAAAATCAAGGGATAAGGGAAAACATATATATATAATAAGGATTGATAGGGATAATGATAATGCTTTAAAGGATAGAATAAGTTTTTAAAAGATTTAATAAGCTCAAACAATCTTATTTTGGGTTACCAACCAATAATGAAAATTTAGAGACGACTGTACGGAATTTAATAAGTCTTTTTTCAAACAATCTTGGTTGACACAGCAGCTGTAAACTTATTTTTTATTTGTTGCCAAACTGTACAATAAGCCAATAAAATCAGTATCTATATCTTGTATATTTAGTTCCAATGTTTCGTGCTAGAATAAGTATCTATATCTTGTATATTTAGTTCCAATGTTGGGTGCTGGAATAAGTATCTATATCTTGTATATTTAGTTCCAATGTTTGGCGCTGGAAGAATAAGTATCTATATTTTGTATATTTAGTTCCAATGTTTGGTGCTGGAAGAATTCTGTCATCTTGGTGTTTCCTTTGCATTTTCTTCAGCCTGATACCTCTCAGCGTTTAGTCAATCCTTGCTCAATAAACTTCTAGAATCTAGAGGTTACAATATGCTTCTAGAATCTAAAGTTTACAAGATACTTCTAGAATCTAAAGGTTATAATATACTTCTAGAATCTAGAGGTTATAATATACTTCTAGAATCTAGAGGTTACAAGATACTTCTAGAATCTAGAGTTTACAATATACTTCTAGAATCTAGAGGTTATAATAAAAATGAGATTTTATTAAAGCGTAGTGTCTATTTACGAGTTTCCCACATTTAGTAAAATTGGATGAAATAAAGTTGTAATATTAATGTTATTTATATGTTTAAAGAAATTGAACACTTGTCACAAAATCTAATCCCTCAACCTGATGGTTTAAACCTTTAATTGTTCAAACTTTACCACTCTTACTGATCTATTAGAATTCATCATCCAAACCTTCAAAGGTCTAACAAACCAGGTTGCAAAGAAATAAGGAGTTTTTGACAAGTGGTTTGCCTCATCCCAATATGAATTTCTAAAATATTAATTTCATATCTGCAGATTTATATAAATTGTAACTAAAATATCACCCTTCACTGTAGAAACCCAACATTTGTTTACTTTACAAGGCTTTTTCTTACAAATAATAGTTTTTACAGTGTTTAATGTTTATACCTTCTTTGTAGAGTCTCATTTTTATTCATGTTAAAGTTTATCACAAAGTATTATTTGAAGTTATTTATTATTAAATTGTTAATATATTGTTAAAACATTTCTCTTCCAAATCTGAAATGTAAATTTTCTGATTGGTTCCTTTTAAAATTTTCTTAGTAAACCATTTCGGTAGTGTTTTGACAAAAATAATTTATTTCCAATATGCATTGTTTCTCCTAAAATTTGGTTTATGATCGTTAATATTTTAAAGGGCTCGAACTGTGAAAATTCTTTTCATGGAAATCTAGATTCGCTGTAAATGTCAGTATCTATATATTAGGCATAGTGCTGAGATACCTTTCAGAATTTGTAGAAATCTCTGGAATATTTCGTGTTACGTACATAAATGCTTTTTTTCGGCTATGCAAAAAGTTTACTTAACGATGCTAGGAAAGTTTTAGTTATCTATGTTTTTAGAAAGTCAAACAAGTATTAATCTGTTTTTTTTAATCTTATAATGCATAATGGCCCGACAAAATGGTTAAAAACTGGATAAAATAATAGTTTAACCATTACTCAACCAGACTATCAATGAACGTTTGGATGATTTGGAAATTCAAAATTACTATACCTTTTGATAATTTCATATTTCGGGAATATATTAATTGAAATAATTGTAATAAATTGACCATCGTTCCTTTCCCCAATGACATCGTTACGAAATGTATTGTATGTTAAACAAGATGTTTTCAGAGCTGGGAACGTTTGAATGATCGATTTCGGGATTAATGCTTGATCCACTCTTTTTCTTAATCATGAGATTAAATAATACTTGTTCTCCTCTTGTTATTAATCTCCAGATTAATTAACCTATCGGAATTAAGGATATCCCATTCAAAAGTTTTCTGTTCAGATCTTGATTTGGTGCGTAAAGGTGGAATAAAAATAGGAAAGATTAAATCTAATCACCCAAACCTAAATTACCTTCTATTTAATCCGTCTTGATGCGGAGATATGGCGGAAAAATAAATCCGAGTAATTTCTCTTTTCCTTGTTAAATTAAACCAAGGAACACTTTATTTTCATCAATTTTTATAAACTATATGTTTTTTTAACTTAAATCAACATTAAATACATCTGCGTTTCCTTCCAGCATATTAAACAATTTTACAGACTTTAAATTTTGTTTCAACTGACCAAAATCTGATTGTATATTCACGGTTTCTGAAAACAATGTTATAAATGTGATTTTGCCAAAATGAAAAATATATCCGATATAGTTACAATTAATCATTTATTCTATGTTCCGGGCCTCATTATCCATTACAAATTATGCCTAAAATATTCATATTTCAAACTCTGATTTAGTTTATGTCCTTTTCCCATTGTAAAAACAAAATGTGTTAAAACAATGAAGAATATGCATAATACAGATAGTTTATTATTATTATCAATTATTATTTTCTCAGATTATAAATATAAACATATATGATAGATAAGTAAAATGGGGGTTGAGGGGGTATGCGATTGTTTTAGTCTGAACGGTTTCACCACGTACACAACTGGTCAATTGCATTGTTGGCCGATACTCTGGATTAATTTATAAGAGCCATTTTCGACCGAGGGTCGCTGTTAAACAAGATAGGGGCCGAGCGTTGCGTCAATGTAAGAAAAAATTGTTGTTTTTACTAAAAATAAAAAATATAATGTTGAGAAAATTGTGTAAAAATTTGTAAAATATTTTTTTTTGTTAAAAATAAAATAAAATTTTTTTTAATAGTAAAATATCTATATATAGGATCACAAAAAAGTAGGGGGAAGGAATAAGGAATGAAAGCTTTAACAGTAACAATCTAGCTTTTCACTATAAAATATGCCCTGTTATGTTTATAGCATTAATATTTATGCCAGAACTGATGATCAAACACAAACAATCTTCAACAAATTAAAATTTTAACTCACAAAATTTATCGGACAATTGGTACCTTCAGTTGAATGTATCACATTAAAATGATTTTAGACTGATGTAAAAACCACAAAAAAATAAGAAAAAGCCACAAATCTAAAAGGAATTAAGTCTTTGCCACAAATTCTGCTTTTCTAAACCCTATTTCTATAGATTCCAATGTCGTAGACCTTAGATATTTCAAACTATGAATTCTGTTAGATCAAATAATATAAGTTTAAAATATCAAAGATTTACGACATTGGGTTCCAAAGAAATAGGGATTATAAATTCAGAGTTTGTGACAAAGACTCAATTCTTTGGAGTAAATCTAAATTTTTAGGTACAGAGCGTCCCATATCAAGTAGGATTATCTCAAAGCTTTATCGCCAAAATACGAACATAAAACTCGAGAAACCTAGTTTTAAACTTTAGGTTGGGAGGTCGTTACTTGGATTTTAGGTAGGTTGGTTGGTTAATTGGCTAATTGGTTCGTTGGTTAATTGGTTCGTTGGTTAGGTTGGTTCATTGGTTTGGCTCCTCAACTTGGACACAGTAGTCATCAATAATCAGTAAATAGATATATTTCAAACCTGCAAAAAAATGCAGGTATAGTAAAAAATAAAATGACAATGTACTAATGAATAGTTGAATATTTAATAATACTAGGCGCCCATCTTCTATTTAAATTGTGAACATGTTCTTTTTGTTTACATTTTAAAAGAAAGAAGAAAAAAAATTTTGCGGATTTTTAAAAAAATTTAATTTTTTTTTACTAAATTAAAAACCTTTAAAACACATTTTTTTTATCATTCATAAACCTTCCCTGTGGTCACGTGATGTCCCACAAAAAAATTTGGGCCTGATCGGTTCACCCGTTTTGACGTTTATTGGATACAAACAAACAGACACCCAAACAGACAGACAAGTCAAATTTAAATATAGATGTCTAACTAGTATTTCATGACGGAGTGAAAAGGTGGGATTAGGGTTTGAGGGTTTGATATAGTTTAAAACATTTGTAACTACTTCTGAAAATATAAAACCGGTTGTCAAAGTGGAATTGCAAAGTTATTTATGGATTTGATCTTTCATTTAGTAAGACGTTTCACTGTTTGTTGTTTCTTTTGTTGGAGAGATTTAATTCTTTCTAAATGTTCTGATTAGTCCTGAAAATTTAGAGATACAGACGATGTGGGATACCCTGTATGTTCGGGCCAAGTGCCATGGCTAGGACAAACTAGGCACTCAAGTGCTGCAGGCTGTTAAATATGTTTGTTTATACGTGTAATCACGTGGAATTTAGGTCAAAAGTGAAGAAGTTTTAAAAGTTGTTGAAATAAAAATATTTATTCTTTCTGAAAAAAGTACAGACGCACAAAAATTTTGCCGTCAATATAATCATTTCTCCTCCCTCTTTATAAAAACATACATTTCAAGAAAAAATATTCAGCTCATTTATTATTAATTTTCATGTTATCAATAATTTAAGAATAACAATAAATTGTGTTTCACCATTATTATAAAACAAACAGAATATATATATATACAGCAATAACCAATCTTAACAAACAATAGAACATGTTCTAGACTTATTTTAAGAAGATAAATATATAATATCTATACATATATAAAGTTGTAAACTCTGTGTGTATGTTTATCCGATCATAACTCGGAAACTCCTGGACCAATTTGTCTCAAATTTTGATCGGGAAACTTTTACTTGAGAGAACCAAGGGAATGTTCAAAGTTTGGTTTCTATGTTGAATGAGTCGACTTTAATAGCGAAAATTTAGTTTCCCGGTAAAATCGTTCAAGTGCTGGTAAACGGTGGAAGTAACTTTTAGTAACCTTGGCAAGACTGGGATCCCAAGCTGGTCATACATACTAAAGGTCATACATACTAAGATCATACATACTAAAGGTCATACATACTAAAGGTCAAGCTGACCCGCTTTTTCCTGGATATGTTACTTAATAACAACGGTAGATTTGATATATAAAATTCTAAACGATGGGATAAAAATATTAATATCCATAGATGGAAACTGTTTCGCAACAAAATACGAACATTTTCGGTCGCATTTCGAAAATTTTTCGCGAAATTTTGCATTTATCGCGAAAATGTGTAAATAGCTGCAACAATTAATGGGTCAAAAGAATTGGAATTCTCTGCTCTGAGAGCTCAATATTTATTCATTATGTCCTAAAAATAATTTCGCGAAAAATGCGAAATTTTCGCGAAACGATTTTTCCTTTGCGCTGAAAACCCATGAGCTACTTTCTAGAAGGGGCAAGAATAAAAATTTACTTCTGAATGTTTTAAAACGCTGTTAACGTAAAACAGTCGATCTACTTTCAAGTCACGTAAGTAACTGATCAGCTGTTTGCGTTCAGACTGCATGCAGTGTACAGTCGCGTTTTAGAGGAACTGAAGCGGGATTCGATATGTAAAAAAAGGTTCTCTCTCTCTTCGATTAGCAGTATAAGATTTCGAGGATACCGTCGTGAATCGGGAATTGCCCTTTCAGCATGAAGGGTCACTTGATATTACGCTTACAGTCCCTTTAAGACTTTCTTATAACTGGTTAAATAATTCATAGCAATAAATGATTATAGAGATTTTAATATTTACATTGTTCCGGGAAATCCCTTTCACAACAGAAGTTAAATCAATAATTTATTTTTAAGAGGGGAAGAAAATGAAATCTAATTTGAAAATATAATTGAAAACGTTGTGAGGTCGTGAAATGACAAGTGGTTGAATAATTAATAAAATTAACACTACTAGGAGATATAATAAACTCAGTTTTCAGAAATGAAGACTCTTCCGCCACAAGCTCAAAAATATTGCATTGTTTTAAATTCGTGTAAATTATTTGAATATTTAATTTCATAGATCTTTTTTATTGAGACTAAATGATGAAACTGCAATCATTATAGCGGAGGTAAATTAGAATTCAATCTGTGAATGAATTTCGCCAAGTGACAAAAACATACCGAGAGTTTGTTGGGATGAACAAATTGATTATTCTACTTTCTGTTTCACCTTTCTTGCTAAGAACTGAGGAGAAAATGGACATATTGTTGTTTACATTCTCGTATAGTTTCTAAACAAACATTCAGGTTATTCAGATTCGGACCTAATGTCAAAAAACGGGGAATAAGTGTCTAAAAACTCGTTTCAACTGCTGGAAAGCAAAATGCTGCTAAAAAAATCTTAAATCCAGCGGTTGAAAGCAAAAAGCTGCCAAAAAATGACAAATCCAGCGGTTGAAAGCAAAAAAAGCTGTTCAAGAAAAACTGTTTTCCACTGGTTGAAAGCAAAAAGCAAAACAAACTCGTTTCAACTGCTGGAAAGCAAAAAGCTGCTAAAAATCTTAAAATCAGCAGTTAAAACTAAGACAGTTTCTGCAAACTATTTAAAATAGTTATTTCAAATCTTTAAACAAGTAGTTGAAGGCAAAAAAGTTTTTTTAAATCTTAAACCCAGCGGTTGAAAGCAAAACCTGTTTTCAAAAAAACCTGTTTTCAAGAAAACCTGTTTTCAAGAAAACCTGTTTTCAAGAAAGTTTTCAAGAAACCCTGTTTTCAAGAAAACCTGTTTTCAAGAAAACCAGTTTTCAAGAAAACCAGTTTTCAAGAAAACATGTTTTCAAGAAACACTTTTTTCAAGTGGTTAAAAGCAACCCAGATGTTGATAGCAAAAAAGTTGCTGAAAATTCTTAAACACAGCGGTTGAACGTATTTCATGAAGAACTGTTTTCCAGTGGTTAAAGGCAAAAAGTTGTTAAAAATCTTAAACCCAGTGGTTGAAAATAAAAAAGTTGAAAAAAACAATTTTTCAGGAAAAACTGTTTTTAAGTGGTTGAAAGCAACCCAGCGTTTTATAAAAAAAAGTTGCTGAAAAATCTTAAACCCAGCGGTCGAAAGAAAATTTCTTTCATGAAAAACTGTTTTCAAGTGGTTAAAAGCAACACAGTGGTTGAAAGCAAAAAATTTGCAGAATAATCTTAAACCCAGTGGTTGAAAACAAAAAGGTTGCTAAAAATCTTAAACCTAGTGGTTGAAAGCAAAAACTTTTTCAAGAAAAACTGTTTTCCAGAGGTGAAAAGCAAAAAGTTGTTCAAAATATTAAACCCAGCGATTGAAAACAAAAAGTTGTTGAAAAATTCTTTGTATAACCCCGAATAGACCATGAATAAAATCCCCCCCCCCCCTCCACGAAATTTTGGTTTATTTTCATATCCCTTTTCCACGTACTGCACCTAATAACAACAATGATCAGTGTAGTTGATTAAGCAAAATACGCACGTCACAATCTAGCGTACTGCACCTAATAACAACAATGATCAGTGTAGTTGATTAAGCAATATACACACGTCACAATCTAGCGTACTGCACCTAATAACAACAATGATCAGTGTAGTTGATTAAGCAATATACACACGTCACAATCTAGCGTACTGCACCTAATAACAACAATGATCAGTGTAGTTGATTAAGCAATATACACACGTCACAATCTAGCGTACTGCACCTAATAACAACAATGATCAGTGTAGTTGATTAAG